TTCTTCTACTCCCCAAGCCCGGCCCGTGGCCAGGCTCAACTTGTGAGAGTTTGGTCCACCGGGCTGTTGCTTGGAGCGGCCCGCAGGCCCACATACCCACTACAGGCCGGTTGGTCCGGCAATTTTTTTTTAGAAAACAATCTAATTTCTCTTGAAGATGTCGTTCCGGCAATATTTCTTATAAACGATCACACTACGTGATGCATCATTTGATGCATCACGTAGTGTGATCTCTGTGTGAATATTTCTTATAGTCGCTGGGAGGACGTTGAACAACCGCGGACCTCTGATGTTTATACAGTGTTATCTGATTGTGCCTATGGCACCTCTGCTCTTCACTGGGTCTATTCTGCATTTTCTTCCATATCGTTTACTCCAGTACGTTGATATTTTACTGTGTAGATTTGGGACTTGGCCCTCTAGTATTTTCCATGTGTAGATTATTTGGTATCTTGGTCCCTCCTCTACTTCTCAACCTCTATCTGATTCTCAGCTTCACTCTACCTCTCAGCCCCTCTCCCCCTTACGCCTCTCAGACCCCCTCTACCTCCCAGACCTACTATGCCCTTGAACAAATCCACAAGGGCCGTGACGAGGATTCGAACCTGCGTCCGAGAGCATCCCAGACGCTGCCTTAATCGACTGAGCTACATGTCTACTATACCCTTCGAACCCCCTTTATTACTCCCCCCCCCTCAGAGACCCACTCTCCCTCCTCCTCCTCCTCCTCCTCATTCCTGGGCACATCTCTCACCTCCAGCACACACTAAGGGAACCAAACAGGCAGAAGAGCTGTGTGAATTCTGGTAACACTTTCCAGGAAAAGTCTCAAGGTTTGGTACACCAATGCTGATGGAGTGTCCAATACAGCAGGAGAAATAAAACAAGGTTAGTGAAACAGATCCTGACAGTGAAAACTAGAATAAAAGATATGAATGATGTCGGATGCAATTTTTCCAGGGGGATGTCAAGGGATAAGAAGAGAAAGGACACGGAAACAGGGAGGGGAAGTGGCCCTCCTAATAAAGCGGAAATGGAAGTTTGAAGAACTGGAAATTCAGGCAACTAATAGAAAGTCAAGCTCCATAACTGGGACTCTTGACAGCAGATGAGAAGAGGATTGTAATCTTGGTTATCTATAAGACCCGGACAGGAATATGATAAGGCATGTACTCACATAATTGTGCTTGCGGGGGTTGAGCTCTGGCTCTTTGGTCCCGCCTCTCAACCGTCAATCAACAGGTGTACAGGTTCCTGAGCCTATTGGGCTCTATCATATCTACACTTGAAACTGTGTATGGAGTCAGCCTCCACCACATCACTTCCTAATGCATTCCACTTGTCAACTACTCTGACACTAAAAAAGTTCTTTCTAATATCTCTGTGGCTCATTTGGGCACTCAGTTCCCACCTATGTCCCCTAGTGTGTGTACCCCTTGTGTTAAATAGCCTGTCTTTATCTACCCTATCAATTCCCTTGAGAATCTTGAATGTGGTGAGCATGTATTCACCTAGTTGTGCTTGCGGGGGGGGGGGGGGGGGAAGGGTTAAGCTCTGTTATTTTTAACAGGGCCTTTCTAACAACTTGTGAAGGAAGACACAAGAGAAAGAGGAGGGGATACACCGAGCCTATTAGACCTGACGGTCACTCAAAACTACAAAGTTGTTCAGAGTGTCCCAGTCTTTAACTATATGACTCAACTTAAAACTGTGAACACGAGGCAAGAGGTTCGGGAGGAGTCGACTATAGATAAGGGGGATTACAGATGAGAATATCTGTAGATATTCTACAGATATCTGTAGATATCTACAGATATGAGAATAAACAGCGCCAGAAGAAAAAATGAGAAGCAGGAGGGAGTGGAGGAAGTACAGAGGCATAGATGAGACAGAGCCAGGAACGAATACATAAATATGAGGACAGTATCGGTTAATATCATGAAAAGATATGGCTATTAAAGCAAAAAAAGCAACCTAAATTACTACAAAGTCATAGTCAAGAAGGAACATGACAATGAACGACCAAGTGACAAGACTACAGAAAACGGGAGGTCTTCCGTGTTGACATTCAGAATGTGACAAGGAAATCTGCGAGGTACTGAATGTCAGTTTCCACGGAGTGTTCAGCGTACTACCAGCGAGGATTTTTAATGAGACAGTTACGAAGGGAGAGTTGCCCAGATGATGGTTGAAGGCAAATGTGGTACCAATTATCAAGGTTGAAGGTAAATGTGGTACCAATTATCAAGGTTGAAGGTAAATGTGGTACCAATTATCAAGGTTGAAGGTAAATGTGGTACCAATTATCAAGAAAGGCGATAGAAAAGAGGCACTTAACTATAGAGGGGGTATCGCTGACAAGCGTTACCTGCAAAGTACTCGAACTGGAACTGCTAAGAGAGAGAATGATGCACTGGGTAGATGAGCAAATTCTCCCACAGGAAATATTAGATCAGTCCCTATCCACCAATAGTGCAAATGGTGTAGCTACAGGAAATGTGGAGACCCAGAGGCAGTGGCAGCAGAATTAGAACTAAAGAAGTTGCAGTTTGAAGCAGAACTAGCTCGACCTTATTACTTAACCTATACCGTTGATAGGTTAAGTAATAATTGTAAATAAGAAGCAATAGGATGCTTATCTTAACATACTAAGAAGGCTAGGTGAGGTCGGTGTTTTCTATGAAGCTTTTCAAGGTAAACTAAAATATTCACAATCAATTAGTATGTCACATATGCACTTATTAAATAAGCCAATATTGACTATAAGCAAGTGCGAGAACGGGTTGATGATAGTATATATAGATGCTCTAGACTGGGGTGCTGGTTCTGTACTAATGCAATAGGATGATGAGGGGTATTAATTATCCAATACATTACTATTCTTAAAAGTTAACCAAATATCAACAGTTGAATGTTGTTGAACAACATTGAAATGTTGAACTCCAAAGTAGAGAAAGAGGCATTATCATTATTACTAGCTGTTAAAAAATTTGACATTTATGTACCAGCCAATACCGTTGAAGTGTTTACTGACCACAACCCCTTAACTCTTATTGCTAGCATGAAGAATTCCAATCAGAGGATATTAAGGTGGTCTTTACTGTTGCAAGAGAACAATCTGGTCGTCAAACATATTCCAGGAAAATTAAAAATAGTAGCAGATGCACTTTCTAGATTGCCTAAACTTGGGGTGACTTAGGGTTGTACTATTGCACAGAAATGTATATAATATTGTGTAAATGTGTTCATTAGTTATCATATACCATTTGTGTCAATTTATTATGAAATCTGTTTGAGGTGTTGAACCATGTGAAAAAAATTGAAATTCATTTATGAATTATTAATTTTTTCTCCACGGTGTAACACGGGGAGGGTGTTCTCGAATTATCTTTCCTTCTTCTCCCCCTCTACCCGTATTCTTACTTTTTATTCTCTACAAGGGACTCCAAAACTTTTACTAAAGCCGACTCCACGCCACGTGGTCCTAAGACGATTGACCGACTTAGGATTCTACAACCCGTATGACGTGACATAGACTTTGAGCAAAACCCTAGAGTCGCCTCCGCCGCCACCACCAGACCAGTAACACTGAACAATGATCGAGGTCTGGATCGATCATGCTAATTAATCAACCTTGGGGCTTGATCCCCCTATAACCGGTACCCTTTAAGGTCTTAAGTGTGGAATTAATTAGACGGGAATGATGAATTCCGATTCGATGTTAAAATCGGCGCCCATTTTTGACCTGACGTGGAGCACTAGCTGTCTGACTGGTCCTAGTTTTGTGAGGGAGGATGCACTGATAGCCTACTGAGCTGTTAGTTTTGAGAGTCCTGATATCCTAGGGATTCAGGCGATGAGTCACAATAAAGTGGCTGAAGTATGTTGACCAGACCACACACTAGAAGGTGAAGAGACGACGACGTTTCGGCTAGTCCTGGGCCATTCTCAAGTCGATTGTGAGAATGGTCTTGGTCTCACAATCGACTTGAGAATGGTCCAGGACGGACCGAAACGTCGTCGTCCCTTCACCTTCTAGTATGTGGTCTGGTCAACATCCTAGGGCAACCTCTGACACATACATGTGTCAGAGGTTGCCAGAGGTAGTGCTGGAGTGCACAGTTCCAGTGTTGGACTAAGATCTGTATGGGGGGAACCCGTTTGGGTGATAAGAGACAATGTTTTCCTTCTGAAGGCATTGATTTATAAGGAATGAATTATGTTATGTAATGTCGTGTGTTTTATAAATATACATTAGTGTCATTTATCTACTGGGTTGTTTCCCTTCACCTTGAATTCCCCTTGGCTCAATTAAAAGCCTTATTCCCTTTGACAACATAAAAATATCTAAAGACCACACCCACACGTGACAGTCAACAGTATACTCTACGCTGCCAAAACTTAAAACATCTTTCAAGTAAGGAGGCATTTAGAGCACTTTACACTGCCTACAGAGACTATTCTTAGAGAATGTCGCACTATCCTCAAGAAACACACAAGGAAACTGGAAATGGTTCAGCGACGAGGCTCGTCCCAGAGTTGCGAGGGATGGGATGTGAAGAGCAACTAAAGGAACTGAACCTGCTGACAATAGAAAAAAAGAAGGGAGCGAAGAGACATGATAGAAACGTATAAAATACTTAAGGGGATTGACAAAATGGAAATAGATGAAATGTTCACACTAAACACAACAGAACAAGGGGGCATGGGTGGAAGCCTGAAACCCAAGATAGTCGTGTAGATATTAGAAAGTTTTCATTTAGCGTGAATAGTGGGGAAAAAGGAATGAACTAAAGGAGCACGTGGAAGCAAAAGTCTATTCATAGTTTTAACAGTAGGTACGATAGGTTAATAGTACGAGTCATGCCATTAAACTGTGGCAAGAAAAGGGTCCAAGGGTTAATGCTTGATCCTGCCGGCACAAATAGGCGAGTACACATCATCAAGGTCACTCAGTTTATTCACTATAACTACAAGAGAGCGGCAGTTGTGTCACTTACCGCTTTTGGTCGTTTGGGTGGAGGCGGCGTGTCACTCTTGAGGTTGTAGTGTGTGAGGGGCGTGGTGGCCCTGCTGGGGGAGGAGCTGGGGGCGCGGGGCTCCAGCTTCACTGTTGTCACGGGAGGTGATGCCACCCCGCCTGACACACCCACCACTCCACTTGATACCCCGACCACGCCGCCCTGCACCCCCACCACGCCACTCTGTACCCCCACCACGCCGCCCTGCACGCCCACCACGCCGCCCTGCACGCCCACCACGCCGCCCTGCACCCCCACCACGCCCACCGGCGGTCCGACGGTGGCCGGCCCAATAACAGGACCCGGGGTGGCCACCATAACTGCGGGCGCTGGTGGCACGCCTGCCGCTGCTGGGGGCGTGGTGAGCGCTCGCGGGGGCGCCGCGCCCTGTGGAGGGGGCGACGTAGTGCCATTGATATCGTGGCGACGCTTGTCTTTCTTGTGGGCGGCACGGACATGGGCTTGTGATCTCGGGGCGGGCCGCCCATTGAGCTCTCCGCCCTCTAGCTTGATGTGGGCGCCGTTGTGGTGGTGCGTGGGTGGCGGGGTGGAGGTCTGCTGCAGCTGTGGTGGCTGCTGTGGCGGCGGCGGCTGCTGCTGTGGTGGCGGCTGCTGCTGCTGTGGCGGCTGCTGGGGCGGCTGCTGCTGCTGCTGCAGCTGAGGGTGTTGCTGTGGCTGGTGTTGGAGGGGTTGGTGTGGGTGGAGGAGCTGGTGGTGGTGTTGGAGGGGGGTGGTGGGGGCGGGGTGGGGGGGCCCTGGACCCATGTCGGGCTTCACAATCTCGTGCTTGGCTTCGCTGTTCTTGGTCGTTGGCTTCGTCCTCTTGATCTTCATCTTGAGGCTGTGTTTGTCTTCCGTGGTCTGTTGTTGTTGCTGTTGTTGTTGTTGCTGCTGCTGTTGTTGTTGTTGTTGCTGCTGCTGCTGCTGCTGCTGCTGGAGCTGCCCGCCGCCCGCTTGAGGTGGCTGCTGTGGGCCGGTGGCGATGGCGGTGTTGGAGGAGGAAGCGTTGGCGTGGTGGTGATGGTGGTGGTGATGGTGGTGATGGTGGTGCTGGGGGGGCGGGGCGGCGGAGCTCATCCTCCCACGGTCCGCCTGGGCGATGTCAGCGTCCAGGTCGATGATCAGGTCGCCCACGCCCACGTCCCATTCCTGGTCGTCATACTCGAAGTTGGGCGCTTGCTGGCGGGGCTGACCTGCTCCTGCTGCTGCTGCTCCACCCTGCTGCTGCTGCTGGAGGCGCTGCTGCTGTGGCTGTGGCTGTGCTGACTGCTGCTGTTGTTGCTGTGGCACTTGTTGACCTGTTAGGCTTCTTGGTTGCTGTTGCGAGGGCGTAGCGGTGTTGGTCTGCTGGTGTTGGTACTGCTGTTGAGTCTGCTGCTTCCCTGCTTGATATGCAACGTTCTTCTGTTTGTTCTGCTGAAACGAGGCAGCGTTGTGTGTTTTGTTGGGTGTGTGGTAGTTGGGCTGGGGCTGCTGGTGCTTGTTGGCGTGGTGGTGGTGGTAGTGGTGCTGGTGCTTGGGCGGGTGGTGGTGGGGGCGGTGGTGGGGGTGTGGGTGGGCGGTGGCACCCACGGAGCCAGCAGTCGCCCCGCTGAGGGTGGAGGGCGCCTGCTTGTTCCGGGGGGCGGTGGCTCCCTCCAGGGGTGACTCGCGCATTACGGGTTCCCCACCATCACGCCCACGCCCCCCCGCGCGCCACCACCCTTACGCCCATCACCTGTAACACAAGACCTCACGTTAGTAAACATTTACAACTTAACTGTTTAACTACACAAACAGCCCTCACCCCCCACACACGCAGGAAGACTAGTGGGGAAATAGAGCGGTTGAAGACGCAAACTCCATAATTTTAATTAAAAGTTGTAATGATAGGGAAATCACAGGGACAGAGGAGGCTACAAGAGAGGGGTCTAAGAGCTAGAGGTCAATCATGCAGGCACAAATAGATGAGTATACACACACACACACCGAAGAGGCAGGACCCTCTTTGGTCCCTTAGGTGGAACCAAAGAGCCGAAGCCCAGCCCCCCACAGGCACAGTTAGGCGAGTATAGAGAAGTGTCCGGAAGCAGGAGTGGAGGAAGCACACAGGACAACAGGAAGAGACGCAACAGAGCTAGGAATGAATACATTAATACAAGGAGAGTTTCGGAAAGAAACTACGAGAACAATATTACGATCAAAGCAAAAATCAACCTAACTTACTACATTGTCGTATAAGAAGGAAAATGTTAGTGAACGAAGTGGCAAGACTACAGAAAACTGGAGGGCATACACAGAAAGCGACAAGGAAATCTGCGAGGCACTGAATGCCAGTTTCCATGGAGTGTTCACAACCGAGCCAGAGCAGCTCTTATTGTTAGAAGAGATGACGACCCAAGATGAGAGACTAACAGATATAGAGGTGACAGCAGAGGTGATGAAATAGCTGACAACACTGGATGAAACTAAAGCAGTTGGACCAGACAATGTATCACCGTGGATACTAAAAGAGGCAGCGCAGGCCCTCAGCGTGCCTCTAGCAAGGCTCTATAATGAGTCACTAAGGGAGAGTTACCCAGTTGCTGGAAGAGGGCAAATGTGGTACCAATTTTTCAAGAAAAGAGATAGAGAAGAGACACTTAACTATAGACCAGTATCATTGACAAGCATCACCTGTCAAATACTTGAAAGAATAATCAGGTTATTACTCAGGTTAATAAATTCTTTAAATTTTTGAAAGAGAAACTGACAATATTTCACTCAGCTCTTGGGCCCGACTCGTGGAATTCAATATTTATAAAGAAATGTAAAGTACCAGTAGCGCGAGCACTCTGTGTAATATGGAGAGAGCCTGGATACAGGGCAGGCAGGGTTGCAAGATCTGAACTGCTGAAAGTAGCGGTCTAAAAGTAGCGAATTTGTAATTAAAGTAGCCCAATATTTTTTTTTTAGCCGCTGATACGGTTATCATATCAATATATTTTAATACATAGAATGATACTACAGTACATGATTTAATGATTGAATTAATATTATCACTGCATGTATATAATTAAAAAAACTGGTAATGGATAACTTACCAATATTTGCTGCATGAAGCGTAATTTACCTGAATTTACCTAGCAAACTGTGCTTCTTGCAGCATATATTAGTATGTTATCCAATTGTCAATCATTTTTCTTTATTATATATGTGTGTGTGTAGAGTCCCTCCACGTCTTCACAGTTGAAAACTATCAAGCAGTCTTCGTCTGCACCCACAACCTCATTCTTGTATACTGCAGACTCACATTTTATTACTGACATCCGTGGTTCAAATGATGAGCAACAAGTGTCTTTCTTAAAGATATGTTTTGATTCTCAAGACTGATGTTAAAAGCTGTATCTTGAGATGATTTCGGGGCTTTTAGTGTCCCCGCGGCCCGGTCCTCGACCAGGCCTCCACCCCCAGGAAGCAGCCCGTGACAGCCGACTAACACCCAGGTACCTATTTACTGCTAGGTAACAGGAGCATAGGGTGAAAGAAACTCTGCCCATTGTTTCTTGCCGGCGCCTGGGATCGAACCCAGGACCACAGGATCACAAGTCCAGCGTGCTGTCCGCTCGGCCGACCGGATCCCTTCTCCCTCCTAGGTGTCAGGGTTTTCACCTTTTTGAAAGTTTCAGCATTACTTGGAATGTGAGAAAGAAACTTTTTGTAAACTTTCACACAAAAACGATGGCGTCTTTCTTGAAGGTTTTGATGCTATTCCTGGTTTATAGCATTGTTTTGTCTGTTAGTGCCCAGGGACCAGATTCACGAAGCAGTTACGCAAGTACTTACGAACGTGTACATCTTTCCTAAATCTTTGACGGCTTTGGTTACATTTATTAAACAGATTACAAACATGAAACCTTCCCAATCAACTGTTATTGTTATAAACAGCTTCCTGGTGCTTCGGAGCTCATTAACTGTTTAATAATTGTAAACAAAGTCGCCAAAGATTGAGAAAAGATGTACAGGTTCCTAAGTGCTTGCGTAACTGCAGGCGATGAGTCACAATAACGTGGCTAAAGTAAGTTGACCAGACCACACACTAAAAGGTGAAGGGACGACGACGTTTCGGTCCGTCCTGGACCATTCTCAAGTCGATTCGACTTGAGAATGGTCCAGGACGGACCGAAACGTCGTCGTCCCTTCACCTTCTAGTGTGTGGTCTGGTCAACAAATGCAAGGAATGAAGTGTATCTGATAAGAAACAAATAAGGGATACCCTTCCTCATCACAGTGGTGAGAGATGAGGTCCACACACAGTTGATGCCTCGTCCCTGCAAGACGCTACTTCAGATCAACTCCAAAATAATCCTTGAGGTGTTGATACAAGGCTTCAGAGGTAGTGGGCTTGTGACTGAAACTAGTCCCGTAAACTGAGGTCAAATCCTACTGTACTTAGCTTAATAATATCGAACAAACACACACACAGTATCTGTCTACTTATCTATAAGTGGCTTACTGGTGGTCCATCACTACTTATTGGAACTTTCCATCAAACAGTTGAGTACTGTACTATCATTTCATGAGGATGGATTGCTTGCATGACATTACCCGGGATGAAGCATTAATGGCAACTAAGGTAGGGAAATATCGCACCTGGGAAGGATTACCTTACCCAGGCGTACCTTACCCAGGCGTACCTTACCCAGATCCTTTGCTGCTAGAATCCACTCGGTAAAACATCTAAACTATTGGGACCGACTAAAGAGCCTAAATCTGTATTCCCTTGAGCGCAGGCGGGAGAGATACATAATAATTTACACGTGGCAAATATTAGAGGGGCTGGTCCCAAACCTGCACACAGAAATAACGTATAACATCACACGAGACCAGAAGGCATGGCAGGATGTGCAGAATACCCCCGCTGAAAAGCAGAGGTGCAGCAGGTACTCAGAGAGAGAACTATCAACATCAGAGGCCTGAGACTGTTCAACACGCTTCCACTACACATAAGGGACATAACTGGTCGACCCCTCACAGTGTTCAAGAGAGAACTTGATAAACACCTCCAAAGGATACCTGATCAATCGGGCTGTGACGGGTCCGTCTAATTACCACAAGCTACCACAAACTACACAAACTTCAGAAAGCTTCCTGGCAATACGTTAGTAATGAATAAATGATATATTAAGTTAGGCTGACCTGACCTAACCTAACCTAACTTAACCAAACCTAACCTAACCTAACCGAAGCTTGGATCGTCGACTTGATTTGGCGTCACCAGCTTTTTATTTTCGTCTAATTTCTTTATAAAAAGATACTTTTTCAGATTAAAATTATGTTTTCTCGTGTTGTACATTCAGCACCAACATTATAATGAGTAAATATATCATATTTATTCATTACTAACGTATTGCCAGGAAGCTTTCTGAAGTTTGTGTAGTTTGTGGTAGCTTGTGGTAATTAGACGGACCGGCTGTGACTCATACGTCAGGCTGCGAGCAGCCGCGTCCAACAGTCTGGTTGACCAGGAGGCCTGGTCGATGACCAGGCCTCCTGACCGGGCCGCGGGGACGGTAATTCCTGAAAACACCTCAAGGTAACCCTGGGGGGGGGGGGATTACCTTACCCTGGGGGAGGATTATCTTTCTCTGCGGTTACTTTTTTTTTCCAAGGTTCCGAGGGTCAACATCAGACCTCTGTTTTGTGGTGTGGTCAACCAGGCAATTGGATTGGATGCAGCTGTGATTTACACACATTACATTATATATGCATCAATAATTAGTCAATGTTAATCCAACTAATCATGCATCCAACATTAGTAGCCCAAATTAGCACTAGCAAGTAGCGAGAGAAAAAACAATAGGATCACAGAGCTTTAAAAAGTAGCCCAATTGGCTACTTTTAGTCCAATCTGGCAGTCTTGAGGGTATCTCGAGATAATTTCGGTGCTTAGCGTCCCTGCGGCCCGGTCCTCGACCAGGCTTCCTTTTTGCTACACATCCCCAGGAAGCAGCCCGTAGCAGCTGTCTAACTCCCAGGTACCTATTTACTGCTAGGTAACAAGGGCATCAGGGTGAAACAAACTCTGCCCATTTGTTTCCGCCTCCGCCAGGGATTTAATCCGGAACCTTAGGACTACGAACGCCGAGCAATGTCCACTCAGCCGTCAGGCTCCAACTGAGGCTCCAACTGACGGCTGCATTTCAGGGGCGATATCAGCAGCACTTTAAATCACCAGATATTGCTCCTATGCAAAGCTTTGGCAAAACTTGAAGGCCAGGTCCAAAATTTGCACAGTAGAATAACAATATACTGGAGCAATAGATTCGGAAGGAAATGCAGAATAGAACCAGTGTGGAGTAGAGGTGCCATAGGCACAATCAGAGAACACTGTCTGAACATCAGAGGTCCACAGCTGCTCAACACCCTCCCAGCAAGCATTAGAAATATTGCCGGAACAAAGGTGGATGTCTTCAAGATGCACTTAGATAAGTTCTTGCAAGGAGTGCCGGACCAACCAGGCTGTAATGAATATGTGGGCCTGCGGGCCGCCCCAACCAATAGCCTGGTGGACCAACAAGATCTTGTCAAAATGGGCTTGAGGAGTAAAAGCCCGGGCTGGGCTTGGAGAGCAGAACTCTCACAACCCTCTTCAGGTATGCTACAGAATGGTAAGCCATATGTGTGGGGGGGGGAGGGAGGGTTGGTGCATGTGTGTACTCAATTGTGTCATAAGGGTCTAGCATTAGCTCTTGAACCCCACTTTCCAGCTGCCGTTTGTCCAAAGCAATGATTCCTGATCTATTTCCATATCGTATCTACTTGTAAAATTACAAATGGAGTTTGCTTCCACAACGCTTATGCTAAATGAAAACTTTGACACATCTATAGCTCATATGAGTCACAAACTTCCACCCATGCCCCATTGTGATATTGGTATTAATTGTGAACATTTCCTCTATTTCCACTCTGTCATTCCCCCCCCCCCCTGAGTATTTTATACGTCTTTATCATGACTTTCCTCTCTCTCCTTTTTTCTAGCGTCGTCAGGTTTAGTTCATTCTGTCTTTCTTCATATCCCATCTCATAATTCCTTGTTGCAAACTTCTGAACCTTTTCAAGTTTCCTTATGTGTTACTTTAAGTGTGGACTCCACGATGTGGCATGGCACTCTAAGGCTGGTCTCACGTACAGATTGATTGATTAAGATTAAGCCACCCAAGAGGTGGCACGGGCATGAATAGCCCGTAAGACTTCACGTACATGTTTGTTCTAGATTAGGCTACTTAGAACGAAGTGTCCATGTAGCACGGGCTATGGTTATCTTGAGGTTATCTTGAGATGATTTCGGGGCTTTAGTGTCCCCGCGGCCCGATCCTCGACCAGGCCTCTACCCCCAGGAAGCAGCCCATGACAGCTGACTAACACCCAGGTACCTATTTTACTGCTAGGTAACAGGGGCATAGGGTGAAAGATACTCTGCCCATTGTTTCTCGCCGGTGCCTGGGATCGAACCCAGGGCCACAGGATCACAAGTCCAGCGTGCTGTCCGCTCGGCCGACCGGCTTCCTGATACGGGATCATGGTGATCCCGTAATTCACGTACAGTTCAGTAATGCGGATATATAGGCAGGAATGAGGTGAGGTGAAATGAGAAACAATGTCTTTAATGAGATAAGTGAATATTATCCCGGGCGCCGGCGAGAAACAATGGGCAGTTTCTTTCACCCTATTCCCCTGTTACCTAGCAGTAAATAGGTACCTCGGAGTTAGTCAGCTGTCACGGGCTGCTTATTGGGATGTGTGTGTGTGGTGTGGGAAAAAAGTAGTAGAAAAAGTTGATTGACAGTTGAGAGGCTGGCCGAAAGAGCAGAGCTGAACCCCGCAAGCACAACTAGGTGAATACACAGCCAGGCCGGCTATCATGTGCCGTTCTGTAAACCATTTAAAATCTTTCTCGTCTTTTTAAAATCTCATCTCACAAAAATATAACCCATCATAATGATAGACATTGCAAACAAATTAGCGTGTAACAAAGATGAAGTTGAATTAGACCCAGTTATCCCCATCTCTACTCTCATGACTATATTGTTCCAAACACTCACGTCCAATAGCATGGACATTACCGACTCCCTAAGGCCTGAAAGCACCAGTATGAAGCCTTGATTTGTTTAGATCCGAAACTTTATGTTTATGGGCAGCGCAAAACATGCACAGCGCACCGGCTTAGTCAGCAAGGCGGACAGCTCGCCTGCTATCATAGCATGGTGTCAGCAAGGTGGACAGCTCGCCTGCTATCATAGCATCGTGTCAGCAAGGCGGACAGCCCGCCTGCTATCATAGCATCGTGTCAGCAAGGCGGACAGCCCGCCTGCTATCATAGCATGGTGTCAGCAAGGCGGACAGCTCGCCTGCTATCATATCATCGTGTCAGCAAGGCGGACAGCCCGCCTGCTATCATAGCATCGTGTCAGCAAGGCGGACAGCCCGCCTGCTATCATAGCATCGTGTCAGCAAGGCGGACAGCCCGCCTGCTATCATAGCATCGTGTCAGCAAGGCGGACAGCCCGCCTGCTACCATAACATCGTGTCAGCAAGGCGGACAGCCCGCCTGCTACCATAACATCGTGTCAGCAAGGTGGACAGCTCGCCTGCTATCATAGCATCGTGTCAGCAAGGCGGACAGCCCGCCTGCTATCATAGCATCGTGTCAGCAAGGCGGACAGCCTGCCTGCTATCATAGCATCGTGTCAGCAAGGCGGAGCCCGCCTGCTACCATAACATCGTGTCAGCAAGGCGGACAGCCCGCCTGCTACCATAACATCGTGTCAGCAAGGTGGACAGCCCGCCTGCTACCATAACATCGTGTCAGCAAGGTGGACAGCCCGCCTGCTATCATAGCATCGTGTCAGCAAGGCGGACAGCCCGCCTGCTATCATAGCATCGTGTCAGCAAGGCGGAGCCCGCCTGCTACCATAACATCGTGTCAGCAAGGCGGACAGCCCGCCTGCTACCATAACATCGTGTCAGCAAGGTGGACAGCCCGCCTGCTATCATAGCATCGTGTCAGCAAGGCGGACAGCCCGCCTGCTATCATAGCATCGTGTCAGCAAGGCTGACAGGAAACGATTGGACCTGTCACCATGGAGCACTGACACGCACACGGATCTGTCACAAGGGCCAGATTCACGAAACAGTTACGCAAGGACTTATGAAGTGTACATCTTTCCTCAATCTTTGACGGATTTGGTTACATTTATTAAACAGTTTACAAGCATGAAAATTTGCCAATGAACTGCTGTTATTGTTATAAACAGCCTCCTGGTGATTCGGAGCTCATTAACTGTTTAATAATTGTAAACAAAGCCGCCAAAAGATGTACAGGTTTGTAAGTGCTTGCGTAACTGCTTCGTGAATCTGGCCTGCAGGTGTGGAGGACAGAGTATGTTGCTGAAACTCTAGGTTTGTTCTGCAGGCACAAGCACACCGTGTTAGTCCAGAGTGTCGTACAGTGACGTCCAGAGTGTCGTACAGTGATGTCCAGAGTGTCGTACAGTGACGCCCAGTGTCGTACAGTGACGTCCAGAGTGTCGTACAGTGACGTCCAGAGTGTCGTACAGTGACGTCCAGTGTCGTACAGTAACGTCCAGAGTGTCGTACAGTAACGTCCAGTGTCGTACAGTAACGTCCAGAGTGTCGTACAGTAACGTCCAGAGTGTCGTACAGTAACGTCCAGAGTGTCGTACAGTAACATCCAGTGTCTTACAGCGATATCCAGAGTATCGTACAGTGACGGACACAGTAACCGAGCACGGAGGTTGAAGGGCAGAGCACTGTACCGTGAGGCGTAACACTGTACCTTGACACCGTCGACCAAGACTAAGGCTGGGCCCGCTGGTGCTTCACATTTAGACCAGTACTGCTCTACAGGCGGGTCCGTCCACCCACATGAACCCTTAAAAGGCGCAGACTCCAATGACAGAAGATTACGGAGCTGACGGAGTGCACTTACTGTCATACAGACAGACACGTGGTGTCGTAAGTCAAGTCACTTGATCTGTACACACACATACCACCTCAGAGCTGTATCACGCCCCAACTTGTTTTACTCAAATAATATTTAAATACAGGTATACCATCTTGTCGAGCCGACCACACATGTTTATGCATCCTAGTATACCTGGAGCATACCTAGTGAGGGTTCTGGGAGTTGTTCTATTCCCCGTACTCGGCCTGAGGCCAGGTTCAACTTGTGATAACTTGGTCCAACAGGCTGTTGCTTGGAGCGGCGCGCAGGCCCACATATCCACTGCAGCCTGGTTGGTCCGGCACTCCTTGCAAGAGTGCAAGGAGTAATGGAAAATACTGGAGAGCCAGGTCCCAAATCTACACAGTAAAATAACAACATACTGGAGTGAACGATATGGAAGAAAATGCAAGATTGAACCAGTGAAGAGCAGAGGTGCCATAGGCACAATCGGAGAACACTGTATAAACATCAGAGGTCCGCGGTTGTTCAACGTCCTCCCAGCGACTATAAGAAATATTGCCGGAACAACCGTGGACATCTTCAAGAGAAAACTGGACTGTTTTCTAAGAGAAGTTCCGGATCAGCCGGGCTGTGGTGGGTATGTACCAGGCCGCTCCAAGCAACAGCCTGGTGGACCAAACTCTCACAAGTCTTCTTGGGGAGTAGAAGAACTCCCAGAACCCCATCAAGCAGGTATCAAGCAAGCAAGAACTTATCTAAGTGCCTCTTGAATACATCCACTTTAGTTCCAGGAATATTTTTAATGCTTGCTGGGAGGGCGTTGAACTGCTGTAGACCTCTGTGTTCAGTGTTCTCTGTGTCTATGGCACAATTAAGTTCAAGAGGGAACTTGACAAAAACACCTCCAAAGGATACCTGACCAACCAGCCTGTGACTCATATGTCAGGCTGCAAGCAGCCGCGTCAAACAGCCTGGTTGACCAGTCCAGCAACCATGAGGCGTGGTCGACGACCGGGCCGCGGGGTCGCTGAGCCCCGGAATCATCTCAAGGTATGGCACCTCTACTCCTCATTGGGAGGAGTGTAAAATACTCACTGGCAACGTATGCCTATCTTGAGGTTATGCTGAGATGATTTCGGGGCTTAGCGTCCCGGTCCTCGGCCAGGCCTCCTTTTTGTTACACATCCCCAGGAAGCAGCCCGTACCAGCTGTCTAACTCCCAGGTACCTATTTACTGCTAGCTAACAGGAGCATCATAGTGAAAGAAATTTTCCCCATTTGTGTCTGCCTCCACCGGGGATCGAACCCGTAACCTCAGGACTACGAATCCGAAACACTGTCCACTCAGCTGTCAGGCCTTCCCACATTCTCCTTGTGCATTGGTAACGGTGAGTGCGACACAACACGGCCACACTCACACTCGCACTTTAATTGTAAGAGTGCTCATCATACTCTTACAATTAACAACGGCACTAACAACACCCTAACACTGTAAACAGAGCAATTGTAAACTTACCGGGGTCCTGAGACGGTCGGGGAAGGGGCAGCGCCTGCAAGTAAACAGACCAGGTAAACACAGGGAACACCAGTATTATGTAAACACACGCAACACCAGTATTATGTAAACACACGCAACACTAGTATTATGTAACACGAAACACCAGTATTATGTAAACCGCAGTATTATGTAAACAAACACCAGTATTATGTAAACGAACACCAGTATTATGTTGACCAGACCACACACTAGAAACCAATCGACTTGAGAATGGTCCAGGACGGACCGAAACGTCGTCGTCCCTTCAATTTCTAGTGTGTGGTCTGGTCAACATACTTCAGCCACGTTATTGTGACTCATCGCCTGCACCAGTATTATGTAAACAAACACCAGTATTATGTAAACAAACACCTGTAGTATGTAAACAAACACCAGTATTATGTAAACACACGCAACACTAGTATTATGTAACACGAAACACCAGTATTATGTAAACCGCAGTATTATGTAAACACACACCAGTATTATGTAAACACCTGTACTATGTAAACAAACACCAGTATTATGTAAACAAACACCAGTATTATGTAAACAAACACCAGTATTATGTAAACAAACACCAGTATTATGTAAACAAACACCAGTATTATGTAAACAAACATCTGTACTATGTAAACAAACACCAGTATTACGTAAACAAACACCTGTACTATGTAAACAAACACCAGTATTACGTAAACAAACACCAGTATTATGTAAACACACAAAACACCAGTATTATGTAAACATATAATATACCGGTGTCAAGTGATATACCCACACCAGAAGCGCTTAAAGCAGCAGATATAAGGTTTGAGAGTGATCAGGAGTCAGATTTCCAGTATTATGGAGAGAGACCAATGACCTCCACAACCCAGGCCAACATGGATTTAGAACGGGAAGATCATGCCTCTCACAGCTACTTTATCACTACGACAAAATCACGGAGGCATTAGAAGAAAAACAATGCAGATGTGGTATACATAGACGTCGCAAAGGCATTCAATAAATGTGACCATGGAGTGATAGCACACAAAATGAGGTCAATGGGAATAACTGGTAAAGTAGGACGCTGGATACTCAGTTTTCTGTCGAACAGAACACAAGAGTAACAGTCAACCATATAAAATCGAGTTCGAGCGCAGTTAAAAGCTCTGTACCTCAGGGGTACAGTCCTTGCACCACTGCTGTTTCTTATTCTCATATCAGATATAGACTCAAATACTAGTCACAGCTTCGTATTATCCTTTGCAGATGATACAAAAATCACCAAGAAAATTACCTCTGATGTTCAGAGGTAATTTTCATTGACAAAACTTCAAGCAGATATTAATAAAGTTTTCGAATGGGCATTAAACAATAACAGTGTTTAACAGTGATAAATTCCAGGTACTCAGGTACGGCAAAAATGAGGACCTGAAACATAATACAGGGTACAAAACACAATCAAGTTTGCTCCTAGTAGGAAAGAAACATGTAAAGCATTTGGGAATAATAATTTCTGACGACCTAACGTTTAGGGAGCATAACCAAACAAATATTGCGTCAGCCAGAAAAATGATTGGATGGATTACGAGAACTTTCAAATCCAGGGATCCCATCACAATGGTTGTACTATTCAAATCACTTGTGCTGTCCCGTCTTAAGTAATGCTAATTACTCGCTTCCCCCTTCCGAACAGGAGAGATTGCAGAAATAGTGGGAATCCAGAGAACATATACGGCACGCATAGACGCGATAAAGCACCTAAATTATTGGGATCGTCTCAGAGCTCTCCAAATGTACTCACTAGAAATTTCTACACAGTAAAATATCAACATACTGGAGTGAACGATATGGAAGAAATGCAAGATTGAACCAGTGAAGAGCAGAGGTGTCATAGGCACAATCAGAGAACACTGTATAAACATCTGAGGTTCGCGGTTGTTCAACGTCCTACCAGCGAGCATCAGAAATATTGCCGGAACAACCGTGGACATCTTAAAGAAAAAACTAGACTGTTTTCTAAAAGAAGTTCCGGACCAAACGGGCTGTGGTGGGTATGTGGGCCTGCGGGCCGCTGCAAGCAACAGCCTGGTGGACCAAACTCTCACAAGTCAAGCCTGGCCTCGGGCCGGGCTTGGGGAGTAGAAGAGCTCCCAGAACCCCATCAACCAGGTATTAAGCAGGTAAACAGTGGCCCCTAGAGCCACCATAAGCAGTAGGGCCCTAGAGCCACCATAAGCAGTAGGGCCCTAGAGCCACCATAAGCAGTAGGGCCCTAGAGCCACCATAAGCAGTAGGGCCCTGCTTAATACCTGCTTGATGGGGTTCTGGGAATTTTTGTTCTACTCCCCAAGCCCGGACCGAGGCCAGGCTTGACTTGTGAGAGTTTGGTCCACCATACTGTTGCTTGGAGCAGCCCGCAGAAACAATGAGTGCTTGTTTCTGAGTGCACTGTTTCTGCTTTGTTATTGTCATAATTTTAGTTTCAGCCTGCTTGTAAGACATTCATACACTAATTTGCACTTTTCTACAGCGGTACTGTTTTTTAGCCCTCCCAATTTGTGTAAAAAAATACGAGGATACACACGCGCACACAATAAGGAATAATTCAGAACCCTGTACATCACGTATGTCTGACCAATCCTGGAGTATGCAACTCCAGCATGGAGTCCATATCTCGTCAAGTATGAAACTAAGTTAGAGAAGGTTTAGTAGTTTACCACCAGACTAGTGCCCGAATTAAGGGGCATGAGCTATGAGTTGAGACTACGGAAATTAAACCTCACGTCGCTGGAAGACAGGAGAGTGTAACACCACTCTATTGTACCACCGCCACTAAAATGTACCACTATAATGGAACACCACTATAAGGGAACACTTAATGGAACACTAATAAAGTAAACACTACTTATCCTGAGTAACACTTCCCCATCGGTTGCACTTGATAACACTTATGAAACACGGTAATGTGAGCTGACATATGATGGTTACACCGGAACCAAAAGATACACTGCCAATAAGGAAATGCTAACAAGAATGAAATATGCTGCCACCATCTGCCTTTGACCATTGAGACTATATCAAGCAACGAGGCAAGAAACATTGCTTGACTTGGAGAGTACGTTCTATGACTGTCATTAATTATGAAAACGGTTGGCAGCCACTATATCCAAAAGGCTAAGAGGATTCAACAATTGACACAGACGGGAAATTTAACATGATTTATTAAAGACCAAAAGTATGTCAATCACCACTTGTAAATCCTACTCTAACACTGGCAAAAAGTTAAGAAATTTGGACATGGAACAAAAACTCAGAGATCACACACATTACCTTAAAACCTGTCTCTCCCTGGCCGAGATGTTCTTCACAGCCTTTCTGGACCCCGGTGCCCGGCACTCTGAGTTCCCTAAGTCCCGAAAGGACCTCTATATACAACCCCCACAGGGGGAGGGGGAGATCTGCTGTTGCTACCCACCAAGAGTGTACAAACACAAGAAATATTTCAAAAAGCTTGTTTGACATTCACCATACACTCTTCAAGAGAGGAGTTATTAATTACATGTGACTGACCTCTGACCTGGCCAAAAAGGGGGAGATCCAGGGATGTTTACACATAAGAATCTGGAGTCTAATTTCCTTGCATGAATATTACATACTTGAAACTATGCTGACTAAGACTAACCCAGGAATTTTTAATCAATATACAAGATAAACCGGAGATCATCTGGGCTGACCTCTTGGAGAAGGCTTCCCTGGGTGTGAACTCTAAGGGGGGGGGGAGGTCCTGGGTGTTACAAGAGTTAGGGGAGGGGACATGATTACCACATACAAGATTCTCAAAGGAATTGATAGGGTAGACAATGACAATTTATTAAACACAAGGAGCACATGCACTTAAGGACACAGGTGGAAATTGAGTGCCCAAATTAACCATAAAGACATTAGAAAGAATTTGTTCAGTATCGTAGAGTACTAAATAAATGGAATGCATTAGCCGAATGCAATGGGGAGCCGGTCGGCCGAGCGGACAGCACGCTGGACTTGTGATCCTGTGGTCCTGGGTACGATCCCAGGCGCCGGCGAGAAACAATGGGCAGAGTTTCTTTCACCCTATGCCCCTGTTACCTAGCAGTAAAATAGGTACCTGGGTGTTAGTCAGCTGTCACGGGCTGCTTCCTGGGGGTGGAGGCCTGGTCGAGGACCGGGCCGCGGGGACACTAAAAGCCCCGAAATCATCTCAAGATAACCTCAAGATTAGGCAGTGATGTGGTGGAGGCTGACTCCATACACAGTTTCAAGTGTAGATATGATAAGAGCCCAGCAGGCTCAGGAACCTGTACACCAGGGACGTCCAGAGACGTTAGAAAGAATTTTTTCAGTGTCAGAGTAGTTAATAAATGGAATGCACTAGGAAGTGATGTGGGAGGCTGACTCCATACACAGTTTCAAATGTAGATATGATAGAGCCCAGTAGGCTCAGGAATCTGTACACCAGTTGATTGACAGTTGAGAGGCGGGACCAAAGAGCCAAAGCTCAACCCCCGCAAGCACAATTAGGTGAGTACCAGTTGATTAACAGTTGAGAGACGGGCCGAAAGAGCAAAGCTCAACCCCTGCAAGCACAAGTAGGTGAATACAACTAGGTGAACACAGAGCCACACTAGGGGTTGACGTTGACACGGCTGCCGGAGAACACAAACATGCAGGTGAACAAGAGGGGCTCAACAGTGTCCCAACACTACAGACAAACGGCAATGTTGCGGCCTGACAACATTCACATACTTACACTCAATTAGCAGACGACGAACGCTCGTCCCAACAGCCTGTAAAGATATCAAACATTAGTACAACATGATACAGTGACAACCATTGGTACAGCATGGTACAGTGACAACCTAACATTAGTACAGCATGGTACAGTGACAACCTAACATTAGTACAGCATGGTACAGTGACAACCAAACATTAGTACAGCATGGTACAGTGACAACCAAACATTAGTACAGCATGGTACAGTGACAACCAAACATTAGTACAGCATGGTACAGTGACAACCAAACATTAGTACAGCATGGTACAGTGACAACCAAACATTAGTACAGCATGGTACAGTGACAACCAAACATTAGTACAGCATGGTACAGTGACAACCAAACATTAGTACAGCATGGTACAGTGACAACCAAACATTAGTACAGCATGGTACAGTGACAACCTAACATTAGTACAGCATGGTACAGTGACAACCTAACATTAGTACAGCATGGTACAGTGACAACCTAACATTAGTACAGCATGGTACAGTGACAACCAAACATTAGTACAGCATGGTACAGTGACAACCAAACATTAGTACAGCATGGTACAGTGACAACCAAACATTAGTACAGCATGGTACAGTGACAACCAAACATTGGTATAGCATGGTACAGTGACAACCAAACATTGGTATAGCATGGTACAGTGACAACCAAACATTGGTATAGCATGGTACAGTGACAACCAAACTAGTACAGCATGGTACAGTGACAACCAAACACTGGAATAACATGGTACAGTGACAACTATTTGTACAGCATGGTACAGTGACAACCAAACATTAGTACAGCATGGTACAGTGACCACTAAACATTGGTACAACATGGTACAGTGACAACCAAACAGTACAGCATGGTACAGTGACAACCAAACATTAGTACAGCATGGTACACACACACACCACAACCAAACATTAGTACAGCATGGTACACACACACACCACAACCAAACATTAGTACAACATGGTACACACACACACCACAACCAAACATTAGTACAGCATGGTACACACACACACCACAACCAAACATTAGTACAGCATGGTACACACACACACCACAACCAAACATTAGTACAGCATGGTACACACACACACCACAACCAAACATTAGTACAACATGGTACACACACACACCACAACCAAACATTAGTACAGCATGGTACACACACACACCACAACCAAACATTAGTACAGCATGGTACACACACACACCACAACCAAACATTAGTACAACATGGTACACACACACACCACAACCAAACATTAGTACAGCATGGTACACACACACACCACAACCAAACATTAGTACAACATGGTACACACACACACCACAACCAAACATTAGTACAGCATGGTACACACACACACCACAACCAAACATTAGTACAACATGGTACACACACACACCACAACCAAACATTAGTACAACATGGTACACACACACACCACAACCAAACATTAGTACAACATGGTACACACACACACCACAACCAAACATTAGTACAACATGGTACACACACACACCACAACCAAATAAGGCATAAATATGGAACCTGCCGATATTATGCATTGGGGGAGGGGGTGTAAATGTAAAGATGGGCTATCAGGGAGAACTAACAAAATACGAATTATAATCACCAAAGAAATTGCAGAAATATCCTAAACACAGTGTAAAGGGTAATTTAACCCTCTGTAATGACAGCAACTGCATGCAACATCAACCCTACTGGTGGTAGTGATACAGGTTATTAGCAGTATTTAAAGTATGACTATATATCAGAGAGTGAGATGGTCACACGGCACTGATCTTCCAAACTATCACAGTTACCTCCCGTTACTGGGTCGTTGGCCAGATTCACCAAGCAGTTACGCAAGTACTCACGAACGTGTACATCTTTCCTCAATCTTTGATGGCTTTATTTACATTTATTAAACAGTTTACAGCATGAAAACTTCCCAATGAACTATTGTTATTGTTATAAACCGCCTTCTGGTGATTCCGAGCTCATTTACTGTTTAATAATCGTAAAAAAGCTACCAAATATTGAGAAAAGATGTACTGGTTCGTAAGTGTTTGCGTAACTGCTTTGTGAATCTGGCCCCTGGCTCCAGTATTCACCTAGTTGTGTTTGCGGGGGTTGAGCTCTGGCTCTTTGGTCCCGCCTCTCAACTGTCCAATGAACTGGTGTAGTGTGGTGTGTGTGGACGCACTCTACACCTAAACACACTTACAGAATCACGCCCAATTTGTAATTCACATTTGTCGCAAGAACATTCTTGAATGAGATCAGTCGGAGTGGAGGAAGACTGGAGAAGAAAGGAAGTAGAGAAAGTAGGAAAACAATACACCAAGATAAGCGCGGATCCACATTTGCCGGACGGCAAATGAAGCCAGAAAATATAGAAATATCAGGTCTGGTTTAAATGAAACAATTGTGAAGGAAAAACAAAAGACAGCAAATTCATTTTCACAGAGTACTGCAGTACATTGATGACTGGCAGCGTGCAATGTGTTCCTTGCCCGATGCATCAACCAATATATTCTCGACGAAAAACAATAACAGATCCAAAGCCATGTTTACTGCTCATACAACAAACTCGGATTCCAACTTTACTGCCGCAACTCATCACCAACTCTCGCCACAAACCGCATAAATCTTCCTGAAATATTCACACCATTTGAATCAAGTTTGGCAGTCAAAACACTCGCAGAAAAACATACTGGGTTTGCTCAACGGCCTGACTCAGATGGAAGAGAATTAACGCAGCGCTCTAAACATAATATGGAAGGGATGCGCATAAATTAAAAGCAAAATAGACTTCCAACAGCCAAGCTCACCGTAACAAATTACAAGAATCAACAATTCGCAGCGTATTATTGGTAAGCCATAAATGTTCCCATAGCACCCGGGCTCAGCCAGGGAGCGTCGTGCGTCTGGCAGCGAGGCGCACCGAGGCTCAGCCAGGGAGCGTCGTGCGTCTGGCAGCGAGGCGCACCGAGGCTCAGCCAGGGAGCGTCGTGCGTCTGGCAGCGAGGAGCACCCAGGCTCAGCCAGGGAGCGTCGTGCGTCTGGCAGCGAGGTGCACCCAGGCCCAGCGAGGAAGCGTCGTGCGTCTGGCAGGTTTTTTCTACCACAGACGTGGCCATATATTAACATTACTAACCAGAATATATACATGTTGTTCTGTCCTCCATTAATAGGGTTAGAGCTCTGTTAAACATTAATTCAATTATTTGTTGAAGAATCAACCACAGGTGTAGTGCTTTAAAAATGTTAATCTAACCTGCATGCATAAATGCACAGATTTACGTCAGTCCCTCATAAAACAGTTCGAGGTCATTTTTTTTACAAAAGATCATTAATGTGTGTTTACAAAAGTAAAATGTAATTCTGACCAGCTCACACGTAACAGTTGAGGGCTGAGCAGCTCACACCTGGGGTGAGGTAAACAGTGCACGTCAGAGAGCAACAGTACATACACGTCTAGGAATATCTTGCCAGACAGTCACCAGCCAAGACATGTATAAAACAATCATTTTTGTTTAAAGGAAATTGTTTTGGTCACCATGTGTTCCCACACTAAGATGGCGGGTAGGAAGAGGAAAGGCAAAATAGAAGAGGTAAATTTTTATGATCTTGGTGATGAATTAGCAAGAGTGGTCTTCAACAGGTTGGCAACACCACCTTGTGGTTGCCTTGTTTCGGGGCTTAGCGTCCCCGCGGCCCAGTCATCACCCAGGCCTCCTGTAGCAGAATAAAATTCACACAAACCCGTTTATGCTGCCAAGACAAACTAACCAAACCTTCCCAGGTAGTCACACAACACGATATCTGAGGCCTAATACAGTACACGAGTGTGATATACCAGGCCTAAGAATATGTAAGTTTGTTTTTAGCTCCATTTTTTCCGGACTACAGTATACTGATGGTCCATATATAAGTGCTCTACTAGGGCTAGATAGCGTGTATTAGGCCTAGGAAGGCTAGGAAAAGTTTTCTTGCTACAATGCAAAAACGTTTCCGGTTTATTCAAATTCAATAATGCCGATATCTACTTTCCTAATTGTCTTCTCCGTCAATATATGTACGATGGTCCAGATCGTTACTCTAAGCCGTTACTATACGGCCTAAACAAGCGGATGGGCTGGATACTACACACTCGGACCACAAGCTCATCTAAGTCAAACATTAATACCGGCAGTAGGATAAACAAGCGAGAAGGGTTATTCAATCAATTCAGTTTCAAGAATAAGAGGATTGACTGGAAAAAAATATAGACCTTGCAACCATTCAATGGGAGACGGTCTTAAGCGACAAAACTCCCACACAGGGAACAGCTCAACTGACAGCTGAAGCATACAAGGTCTGTCTGAAGCACGTGCCTGTGAGGAGGGGCAGAAAGAGGACCACTCTAGAAAGAGAACGCGGAAGACTGTGCAGAAGGAAAAAATCGCCGAAATGCTTAAACAGAACCGACTATCACAAGAAAGGAAAATAAATGTAAGTACCAGAGCTGTGGGTAGACATGTGTTGAGAGCCAGTATATGGTCGACGACACTGTGAGAGCCAGCATGTGGTCGACGACACTATGTGAGAGCCAGCATGTGGTCGACGACACTATGTGAGAGCCAGCATGTGGTCGACGACACTATGTGAGAGCCAGCATGTGGTCGACGACACTATGTGAGAGCCAGCATGTGGTCGACGACACTACTGAGAGCCAGCATGTGGTCGACGACACTACTGAGAGCCAGCATGTGGTCGACGACACTACTGAGAGCCAGCATGTGGTCGACGACACTACTGAGAGCCAGCATGTGGTCGACGACACTATGTGAGAGCCAGCATGTGGTCGACGACACTATGTGAGAGCCAGCATGTGGTCGACGACACTATGTGAGAGCCAGCATGTGGTCGACGACACTACTGAGAGCCAGCATGTGGTCGACGACACTACTGAGAGCCAGCATGTGGTCGACGACACTATGTGAGAGCCAGCATG